TGGAGAAGGAACAGAAAGTGGGTGACAGGCATCGTGGGGAAGTGGATGGGGAAGTCTGGGTAAAGAAGAGTCCTGTAGTGGTGGCAAAGCAAGGGTCCCCGATAAAAACAAACGACTCAAGAAAAGCCATTTAAGTCTGAGACATACCAGTTGGAGACTGGCTAGTGGACAGGATCGGCGAGGAAGCCTGATCCTTCACACACGCCACTGACTAAAGATGCCTGTGTGGGTCCCAGGGCCCTCAGGCCCCGCAGTGCTGATGGTTCACGTGTCTTCCCAACTGGGCGTCCAGGGACAGCACTGATAGGGCGCAGTAGCCACAGAGCGAACGTGTGCACTCAGGGAATCGGTGCGACCAATCAGGGCCCGACCCCAGAGATGGTTGTTAACTTTCACCAGCACACCACTGCCCTGGGCCACAAGTTCTCTTTTCAAATGATGGGCCTCCCGAAAGGGAAGCTCATCTTCACCAACTACACCACGCTGTTCCTTTTTCTAGTGCTTTGCTGATCCTAGCGCTACTGCTGACCAGCTCTGTGACCCTTTTTTAATTTTTTTGTTAATCCTCGCCCAAGGATATTTTTCCATTGATCTTTAGGGAGAGTAGAAGAGAGAGGGAAAGACAGAGAGAAACATCGATGTGAGAAGAAACACATCGATTGGTTGCCTCCAGCATGAGCCCTGACTAGGGCCTGGGCCAAGGAGGAGCCTGCAACCGAGGTACGTGCCCTTGACTGGAATTGAACCCTGGACCCTTTGGTCCGCAGGCCGATGCTCTATCCACTGAGCCAACCCAACTAGGGCTCTGTGACCCTTTTAACAGGCAGAGGTTTGGCCGGACTGGGCTCCAGCTTCTCACCTAGGAAAGTGGATGGCACTGAGTCTATGCACGCAAAACCTGGAGAAAAGAAGCCGGCTTGCAGGGCGCATCGCTATGGTTGCCTTTGAAATGCGTCCCCTGAATGGGAACAGGGGCGCCTGGGAGCAGAGGCGATGGTGGGGACACAGGGAAGGTGGCAGTTTCCTGAGGGTCCTGCTAGGCCAGCACAGCAGGGAAAACATGGTTTCCCGGTTGGACAGACCTGGGTTGGCGGTTCTGGCCAGGCTTTCAAGCAGGCCCACTCCACCTCTGAGCCTCTTTCCTTTTATGCAAAATGTGGATGCCTCCCCCACCTTGTGAGGGTCAAATGAAAACATGTAGATGAGCCCTCACCATGAGGCTGGGCATAAAATAAGGGCTCAAGCAAAGGGAGGGACGGTCACTGCCCGCCCAGGCCACCCCAGGAGCAGCCTGGAAGACTCTGCCTTTCTCTGCCTCAGCCCAGTTCCCTCCCAGCCAAGATTGCTTAACCCAACCTCGCCAGCTCTGCCCCTCCTCTTGCAATGAGATCTACCTCCCCACCAGAAAAAGACAGAGAAAAAGGGAGACAGATGGATTTGAAGAAAAGGAAAAGGGCGAGAGATGTTTAGTGGGTGCCTTCCTCCCATCCACACCCTTCCCTCCTGCAGACACCGCTTCCCTCTCCCCTTCTTTGCTTTCACTTCAATTAGCGCAAAGAAGGCTCACCCTCCAGGGTTGGGCTGCCGTTAAAACACTTGTTTTGGGGCCATTTTTCAAATGGAAATAGAACATGATATTCGTTTCAGATGTGCAACCAGATGATTGGACATTTGTGTATATTGTGAAATGATCATGACAGTAAGTCTCATTAACATCTGTCACCACACAGCTATACAATGTTTTTCCTTGTGATGAGGACTTTTAAGATCTACTCTCTTAGCAACTGTCAAACATGCACCACAGTACCATTAACTATAGTCGCCATGCTGTACATGACATCCCCAGGATGTATTTTTTTTTTAATAGCTGGAAGTTTGTACCTAAAAAACACTTTTGAAATGTTTCTCACAAAGCTGTTAATATTCTGAAAATCAGAGACCTCTCCCCCCCCAAAGGAGGGCAGAGAACTGAAGATGAGGAGTTGGGAATGAATATTGGTGTGAATTAGGAGGAGTAAGAGAGCAGGAGATGGTTCATGAAAAAAGAAGAGAAAAAATGAGAACCATCAAAGTAGAATGAGAAGAGAAAATATATGATGGACAGGACATGACGGAGTCATCCATCTCTCTGAGAGTGGCCCGGCACCAGGTCCGCTGGCCGGCTCTGAAAAATGACTCGGCTCAGCCAGCCCGCCGTTTCTGAGCACCCCAAGCGGTTTCTCTGCTACCTGTACTTACTCAGGTTCATTTCCTACCTGCCCTTCTAGGTCAGGGACTATCAGAAAGCAAGGAATTTGTCTAGTTTATCTTTGTACCCCTGGGGACATACCATGCTGACTTATACACTTATGGCATTTAATACATATTGTTAATGAATGAATGTGAATGAATGAATGAATGAGCTAAAACAGGCCACACTGATAATGCACTAGAATTAGCTTCCTTCTCCAAAAATCTTTTAGGGCAGGGAGGCCTTATTAAGAGCTTAAGAAATGCAGAGAAAACTTTTCTCTGGCCCACAAAAAAAGTGGTTCACCCTGTTTCAAATATTAAACTTCCTTTAACTAAACCACAGTGAATAATTTAAAAAGTTCTTTTAACTCAAATGATTTTTAAAAATATTTTCAAGTGTTCTGTTCACCCTCCCAAAGTCTATTAATGGAATGTGGAAAATAAACCCCCAAGACATAGTGGTTCCTTTCTTCCTGGAACCGTGACTCAACAATACAAACATTCAAAACCGTTACAGAAAGGGAAAAGGTCTCTTTGAAGCGATTTCACTTCCTCCTTGTTATGTACTGTGGTTGCCAGAGTTTGTAATACCACCACGTTAAAAAAGATTGGAGTCTGACCACAGAAGGGCATGAACCAGCTAATCAGGGCGGACTTCACACTCACCAAGATTCGGGCGATCACCATGATGTACAGAGAGACACAGCCAGACCCTCAGTAATAATAAATGAAGACCTGATAGCAAAATAGTCTTTAAAATTTGTGAAAATGCTAAACATGTGTTTGTGAACACGTTAAAATTTGCCTCTTAGATTCATTGTTTCAGAGAGTTAGGATTTGTTCTAGCTGCAAAGAAAGTAAACATGTAATTACAATTACATAAAATGAAGCCAGCTAGTTGGGGATTAAAAAAATTTCTCTCATTTTTTTTGAATGATTATTCATCCCCAAAATGTTCCGTTGCAGCATTAAGACTCATGTTCCTAAGGTTTTGACAGACTCGATAAACAGAACAGATTTAGGGGAATGAGGTGACCATCTGCCCAGAGTTTCCTGAACTTTCAGTGAAGACGATGAATAAAATTATCCTTAATTAGGTTATCAGGGTTGCATTTGAATACCCAGATGTACCAGATTTTGGATCAGCCATTTAAAATTCCATTTGAGATTTTGAGTGTGTTACAGAACAGTAGAAAGTGACATTACATCAGATTTAATATTTTAAATATCGTCACTCATCCCATGATGATCTCTCAGGGCTGGCACAGAAGGACAGAAGATGAAACGATCTCCCTCAACATCTTTCTTTGCTACTTTGACCATAGCTGAAATGCTCATAGTCAAGAAATTCAGGAATGAGAGGGGTGTGGACAACCCCTCAGGTGGATTTCTCTACAGTCTTCTCACTTGACGCTACCAGATGTCTGATACAGACACCCCATGGTCACTTTCACTTAATGCCTTTGTTTAAGCTGTTTCCTCACTCAGTATGTGCGGGCCCTTTTCTATTTACCCAAATTTTGCCCAATACCCTCAGGTCTGGAGCTGGTCACATGTTCAGTGGTTCCTACTTCACACGCTGGAGTTAGCAGAGATAGGTTTTAATTCCAGCTCTGCCACTTACTAGGTTTAAATAGTCCTGGGTAAGAGATTTAATTTCTCTGGGCCTCATTTTCCTCATCTGTAAAATGGGAACAAAACTATTCATTCTTCCTTAGGGTTGCTCTGGGGATTAAATGAACTGATGTGTGCATAAAGCACAATGCCTGACACACATTTGGGTCTAAAATTGGAATTCTACAAATATCTATCAAGTTCCGATTACATACAGGCACTGTGCTAGGTACTACAGATATAATTACTAACCGATAACTACTTGTTATATTTACGATGGCAACTATTGCTGTTTTCTCCCCGGACTGTGCCAACTGACAGGATGGTTTCTTTCTCAACATCCCCAGCATGTTTAGGTCACATGTACTCCTTTAGGATTCTAATATGTGCTGCCTTATTCCTCAATTGTGTCATGTGTGTGTGTCTGGTCACTCTAGGAGAGCACAAGCTTCTTAAAGAAAAAGAAATTATAGCAGAAGTCAGAAAAGTTGGGTCCTAAACACACCTCTGCTTCTATGACTGCTGCCCCTTGGACAAATCATGCAAACCATGTGAGTCTCATCTGTAGATCGGTAGAGTTGGTTATAAGTAGTTCATTGCTCTTCAATTCTACACTACGTGATTTGCTTTGATTTATTGTTAATGAACATCATCTCTAAGTCATCAGAATCCACTTATGGAAGCCAAAATGAATGAATGCATGTGGTCCAGTTTGGTAGATTTGGATCAATGATATTTTGCCTCTTCATATGTGTCTAGTGATATGAGCCTGCACCAGTAGGCTACCATCATTTCATGCCTTCTCTACATCAACTCAAAAGAATCTTTTAAAAAGAAGAGTGACTACATTATCTAACTACATTATCTGATGACATTATCAAATGTATATTAATGTACACTGACAACATCATTAAAGTTTTTCACCTTTTCTGAGAACAGAGATGGTGAAACATGGAACCATTGTGTATTTCAGAAAAGACATCTGAACAGGACTCAAATGCACCCTTAAGATACGGTTTTAAACCAAACAACAAAAACAATGACATCCTATTGGCTATGAGAAATTTCAAAGGAAGGAAAGTTGCTTTATTATACTTTCCATATAGAGTAGACAGATTTATTGTTGATCTTTAAAACTATCATTTCCCACCGTAGCCTGTTTGGCTCAGTGGATAGAGCGTTGGCCTGTGGACTGAAAGGTCCCAGGTTCGATTCCTGTCAAGGGCATGTACCTTGGTGGCGGGCAACATCCCCAGTAGGGGGTGTGCAGGAGGCAGCTGATCGATGTTTCCCTCTCATCGATGTTTCTAACTCTCTATCCCTCTCCCTTCCTCTCTGTAAAAAAATCAATAAAATATATATTTTTTTAAAAAGAAGTGCAGGAACTCAACCACTAGATAAATAGCCTGACACACTCTCGTTTTAGCTCACAATTCTGATAATAGATGACACTAAAGCATTTGTATTTGAAATAAAACCAGTGAGTAAAAAAATTATCAGAATATATTTTAGATCCTATAGGATAATTGATTTTTTTAAAAAAGGAAAAGAACTGCTGAAAGTACACCAGTGGTTTCCTGATTAGACTTACCTTGTTTGACTTTCCCAGCTTCGATGTAGGGAGTGAGAAATAATGGCTGCCCTGCGTTTCCCTTATACGGCAGGGGAGCCCGGGTATTATTGTATATGGAGCGGAACAGCCCGTCCCCACCGGGGCAGAGCCCCAGCAGGGCCAACAGAACAGTCGCCTTCCACATGGCACCAACTATTCCCTGGAGGCCTAGGATGAAAACAACATTCCACAAATGAATCAAAAGAGTAAATATCTCCCTCACCCTTTTACACGCACCAGAGTCATTCATCCACTCAAAACACAATTGTGTGTAAATGCCCTTTGCTACCACTTAAATAAAACAGACCCAATCCCTGCTCACCCTGAAATTAACTGTCTAATAGGGGGTTACTCAAGGGATTTACTATGTAGCTGGAGAAACAGTTTATATTTCTAAAACTGTGGTCTGGGAAGTAAATGCAATGGAGTTGATTAACGCCTAAAGACAAGGGCTCAGTAACTGATCACCAAATGAGTGGTGGTGAAAGTCCATCCACGACAGAGGGCAGAGGACCTAGAAAAGCCTTGGCAAGGTGGGATGGGTGGAACTCAGGCAGGCAGGAGAAATGGGGAAGCATCACCAGTGGGTGGGTGAGTGTGAGCAAAGGCGAGACCTCAGTTGTCCATGGGCACTTTGCAGGGAAATTTAAAATAAACAAAATGGATCTGGTTCCCTCTACTATAGCTTACAAAATCAGTACACTTTGCATCCAAGAACAAAAAAGATAGAAGGAAGACAGGGAGGGTCCTACAACTATTTTTAGGTCCCTGCCCCCATAGCTCCCTGATAAAGAAACTTAGGAGTTAGGACTTAAGTTTTACTAACACAACGCTTTCCAAGGATATTCGAATCTGATGTTTGCTTAGAGTGTTCATCTGGGTTGATGATAATAGTGGCTTAAAATTGCATGGCGATTTCCCTAGCTTGTAAACAAACATGCAAATTGTATTTACAATGAGCCTTCCCTTGTATTTTCAGCCGATTCCAATCTCTTAATAACTCCACCAGGAAAGCAAGGATTATTATCACCATGGTTAGATAAGATAATTTGACTCAAAGGAGCACTTCATGCAAGGCATGACAGTGGAGAAGTCAGAACTACAACTCAGCCAGAGTCAGGACTAGGGTCAGGTGAGGCAGGTGGAGATGCAGGGTCAAATCTCATCTTTTTATCTAAAGTTTTGACATTTGGTTCACCATGGATTTTTTTGGCATTGATTTTGATTTTTTTCCAAGAGTATATTAAAATACTACTTGATTACTGAGTTTTTGGGGGACTGTTACATGTTACCCAAAGGCAGGTGCCTCACTTGCTTCACCTTAATCCTGATCCTGCTAAGTATTATGATGCCTATATCAGGCTTGGTACATTACTCGGCATCACTGCTATTTAAGCATGGCCCAAGTTCTTAGCTCTAAAGTCTAGGCAAAGTATACGAAATGAATAAATACTCCACTCAGATTATTGGATGCAAAAAGAAATATGCAACTATGCAAATATAACGCCTGCTCTTTGGTGCTTTAAAATACCAAACTATTAAAACATCTTAAAAACACAAAATGGGTAAAAGTCTATTAACCACCTATTTATCACAACCCAATTTGGCATAATATGAAAATACTGGTAGCAAATTTAAAAAGCTTTTGAGCCACGTTTCCCCAACAAGATAAAAATGTATAATTATAACTGGATTGAAAACGTAATCCTTGTAAAGTCTTTCACGGTTAATTTAATAGAATTCCCCATACTTAATGTAAGCAAGCTCAATCATCTATGGTATGTAGCTAAAAAAATGCTTTTGCCTATTATTGACTATAATAAAGAACAAAATGAATTTAGAAACTGAAATTAGGTTCCCAAGAAGCCAAAGGGTAATGACTACTACAGTACTAATAATTTTTTTTAATTATGTGAATTTGTTATGCTGATGTTTTAATCGCAGTTACTTTTAAGGAATGCTTGAAATCAACAATCTTACTCTAACTGGTTCAGGGAAAAAAATCTGTGGTATTAAAACCATAGTGGAAGAAGCTTTTCCAGTAAACGGTTTTTTCCTGGGGGCAGACACAAGAAACTAATGATGCCTTCTAATTTCTCAGTCTTCCTGCTGCAAACCTCCAGGCCCCTTTAATGGAAGCCATTAATATTTAAATAACCAGGCTGGTTACAGAAGTTCCCATGTAAGCAGATGTTGACTCAGAGATGTTCAAGAAAGGCAAAGCTGGTCTTATTTTAACTGACATATTTAATTCATAAAAGTAAGAGTTGGGTCAACTTAGAAGATCACATTAACATTTGATTAAACAACTGTTAGAGTCATGGCTTCTCATGTAGGTGAATGAAAGCAATATTTTTCATTTCACAGTTCTCACTCAACAGTCAGAATTCCTGAATTGTGTGCTAAGCTGTCGTCTCTCCTAATGAAATGAAAGCTATTATCCTGAATGGAAAAGTCTTTTTTTTCCCATGACATCCATCTCAGATGTTTTTGCTTATCCTAAACTAGCCTGAATCTTTTTACTTATTGAACATTATTGAGTACTTTCTAAACTAATAAATCCTGTACCAGAATCTACTACCCATAGAAAGTGAAAGAAAAAGTTACTCACCATACACTTTATCATATGTCTATTTGAAATAATATGAAATATTGGCACTATTTCCAGTTCAAATATATCATATTGAAGGATTCAGACAAACTGTTCCTCTTAAGAACTGTTTAGAAACAGAATAAAATCTAGGCAAATACAAAGAGATATTGGAAGAATCAAATAAGCTCAATGTCAGAAGTTTATGATTTGCTAACACTGTCTTACTAAACCTTAAATATTACAGTTGGAAATTGTGTCCAATGTTCAATATTTAACATAAACAAAGTTATTTATCAGAGTTTTATAGAATAATAAAAGCAGTCAACAATGTAACCAATTAAGTAACTTTCTGTACACCAAAAAGATAAAATTATATACAGCAATGAATATATCTATGACAATGCTTTGAAAATATACTAAAATATTAGGTAAAGTAAAAAGCAAGCTATTAAATTGGATAGGTGGTATTTTCTCCTTATTTAACACTTCTTAAGAATTTCTAAATCTTCTACAATCATTAATCTTATAATCAGAAAAAAAACAATTTTTGGTTTTGAAGACAAAGTGAAGCAACTGAGAGACAAGGCAAAAAAAAAATGCATGTTTCTTATTCCTTATTACTACCTGTTATGACCTCTTGCGTTTCCTGGGAGTCAGGTTCTATTTGTTCTCTTACAATAGGTCCTTCTCTCCCTAACATTCTGAGAAGACGTGTCCTGACCTGCTGAAGCCATAGAACCCCAGAGACTCAGGGTCCATGTCCTCCTTGGTCAATGAGAAGGCTCTGCGTAAATGTGAGAGGTTCTAATAACAGTTACTGTTCTTACATTTGTATTTAATTCTGCCCGAAGTAGAGTCTGTGACAGATGTGCATATAATTGGTTCTAAGCAAATATTTGTTGAACAGATGGATCCAAAAAATGAATCATGATATTTTAGACCTAGATGAGATAATACATGTTCACGTGGCCCAATTCTTTCATCTTACCAACCGGAGAGCGGAAGCCAGAGGATTAAGTAAGTGACTTGCGTAAGATTATTCTGCTAGTGAGTAGTAGGGCCAAGCAATACTCAAAGCAAGGATTTGTTTATGGCGCTAAATCCAATCTGCATTCCACTTTCCTGTCCTTGGTTATAGTTACATTCAGATATTCTGATTCCTGTTGTCTCGATAGATAATAACAGCCTGTAATGGTCCTAGATCCTTTCATAGACCAGCAGAGGCTGTAGTTAAACAAATAAAAAAGAAACATTACTAAGTAAATCTTTCCAGAGAAATTTGGTTTTCGGAAAAAGTTCATACTAATCCTGTCATGACTCAGTAGACCTTGGGCAAGACAGTGACTTCTGTGGATCCAGGTCTGTGTGTTAGAACCAACAACTAGATTTCCAGGAATGGTGAGAGCCAGTTCAACATGGCCATTGTTACAAATTACACTATAAAAGTTTACCATTAAATAAGTTATATTTTAAAAAATGTCATAAATATCAAAACTCACCACTTCTGAATTATCTTACTGCATTTGACTATTATCTGTGTCCTGGAGTTAAGTTTTTCTGTATTTGTCAGGTGGGTGGATTATACAACAGTTTGCTACCAGGCATTTCTTTCCAACTCTGTGTTCAGTGACACCTATGGACGGCTTCCAGTCAGCCACGGTGGGAATATTTACACCATGGCCATCAGCAAACATCACAAATCAGGGTTTTCCTGCCCCTCAGAGAGCCAGTTATTGAATATACACCTGCATGTGTTGGTCTCATGTTTTTTCTTTTAAAAATAAGCTGAGAACCACTTTCTATCAACTCAAATGTTAATTCCAATTGCAATGACCAGCAGAAGAGACAAACGGGAGAATCCTGCCAAGTTGTCATCTGTGTGTGGAAGCAACCGACAACCTTCTTACATAGGCAAGGCCTCTAGGAGAGGAGCCTGCCACTGGAAGGGGTGTGCTCCACCAACAGAGAAGAAGCAAACAGAAACTCCACAATGAGGCCCAAACACAGAGCCAACATTTCAAG